CACTTCCCTATCTGGTAAAGAACATCTGTGAGAATCCCCTTCCCCAAGTTCCTTGTAAGAGAAAATAAAACCCCTCTCTAACTTTTAGTGGGGACTGGTTTTCTGCTTCAGAGTCAGACTGGCAGTTTCTCCTCAATAAACTGTCTTTCTTGGCCTGCACTGGGTTGTCCTTCAGTGACCTTATAGCTTCCGGGGCAGAAATGCTTTCTGGATTCCCTTGTTCTTCCTCTACCTCTTAAATTGTTGGAGTGTTCCAGAGCTGCATCATTTGTCCTCTTCTCAGCTCCATTCACACACTTGGTGATCTTATGCTTTCAAATACCAGCTATTTGTCAATGACTTCCAAGTATATATTTATGGCCCACATCTTTTTCATAAATGACTTGAAAATCTTTTTGTATGCCTAGTAGATGTCTTAAACTCAGAATGCACAAAATGTAACTCTTGATTCACTTTTTTTCCAGTTGGCTCTTAATTCCTAGTTATGTTTGCTTTTGGTTGTGTGGTGCTGAGTTGATTGGGACTCATAGTGGCCCCTCTAGAAGAATATTCCATTAGGGATTCCAAGGCTTTGTGTGATCTTTCCAGGAACAGACTGCCACATCTTCCCCGAAGTGGTGTGGCTGGTGAATGTGATTTGTCCACCTTTCCAGGATGAAAACCATATGAAACTGTTTACTACAGATTAGTAAACTTGTGCTTACCTGGTTTATTGAGTAATCCACCACTACCTAGGAGAGCAGGTCATGTGATGAGCACTAAGGCACCAGATTTGGAAGAAAACAGTCTTCCATCTCAACATACCAACTGGACACAGCCAGCTGAATATTCCCAGCCAGTGCCACATGGAGAACATCTGTCCAGCTGAGCCTTGTTTGAAGTCCTGAATCACAGAATCTTAAAACTTTTGTTGTTTTAAGCCACTAATATTTTAGTTTCTTACTCAGCAATAGATAAGCAAAACACCCTAATGAGATGTATCAAGAAATCTCATTAGTTTACCTTCAAAATATAGCTGGAATCTGACTTTTTACCATATATATGTATTTTTGAAAAATGGTGAGGGAAAAACCCTTAACAAGGTGGATCAACACAATGACTATGACAGTGGGTTTAAACACAGCAGAGATGTGTGAGATGGGACAGGAATGGCAGGGTTTGGTTCCATTGTATGTAGGATTACTAACCACCACCATTATCTTTACTACTAAAGCCCTGGTTTAAACCATCATCCATAGTCTTGTCAAATATCATAATGGTTACCCATTATGTACAGTGTTTGGATGAGCTTCCAGATTGATTTATGCTAGGAAGCAGGAGTGGAATCCACTTCCTAAACTAGATGCTTCTGGAAACTCTACAAACTCTGTAAATGCACAGAAACGATGGTAGTTATAGAACAGAGTTCTGCACAGAAATGATGTTAGTCATAGAAAGAGTTTAGGTCTTTTGTGCAAAACTTACTTTCAGTTGTATTTGACTTGTTGACACTTAACCCCTGCTAAGTGAAACTGGTGCTGTTAAATCTGGAGGAACACTCTTCCACTTTGTACATCACTCTGTCAATGTGCAGTATGAAGTAACTTGGGTTGCTGTGATGCTGAACCTTGTACCATTGGGGTATCAAATACCAGAATGGCTTCCCAATGTAGACAGTGTTTGGTGGAGCTCCTAGCTGTAAAACAGGTTTGGAAGTAGAAGTGGCATCTACTTCCTAAACCACATGCCTCTGGAAACTCTTATATGAACTTGGAAAAATGATGACAGTTATGGAAAGGTCTTTTGTTCATAGTCGCCAGGAGTAGCACTCAACTCGAGGACAATCAACGACGACAACAACTCACTCTTCAGGGCTAAAGGGCTTCCTCAACGAAGCTTCTCTTAATTTCCCTGTCAGAATGAACTGCATCTGTAATAAAATGTTCATACTACATTCTATTTTTAATGTTTTATATCCATTTTTTCCACTGTTGTTGTTATATGCCATCGAGTCACTCATGACTGACTGTGACCCTGTGTGCAATAGCTCTAAACCCTGCTCTATCGTGTGCCAACCTTACTGTCTCTGACACACCTATCACCATTACCTCCGTCACTAAATCAATTCATCTCATCGAGGGCCTTCCTCTCTTCCAAACATGATGTCCCTCTTCAAGGACTGGTCATTTATGGAAACATGTCCAAAGTATGTCAGACAAAGCTTCAGAGTACTTGCCTCCAAGGCCTGGTTTCACGCTCTCGAGGATGAACCTATTTGTTCTCCTAGCAGTCCATGGAGTATTCAATACTCTTCTCCAGCACTACAACTCAAAGGCATCAATTCTTCTATCATCCCTAGTCATTGTCTAGCTTTTTGACACATAGCAAATAATTGTGAAGCCCATGGCCTGCATCAGGTTCACCTTAGCCTCCAGACTGACACTGTTGCTCTTTAGTACTCTGGTGATGTCCCTTGACAGCAGTCTTTCCCAATGCAATTAGTCTTTTGATTTCCTGGCTGCTGGTACCAACTGTGCTAACTGTGGAGCCAAGCAAACGAAAGCCCTAAACAATCTCAATCTCTTCACCGTCTATCATGATGTTGCCAATTGGACCAGAGGTGAGAATCTCTTTCCTTGATGTTGAGCTTCAGTCCATATTTAAGGCTTCAGTCCTTGACCATCTGCATTAAGCACTTCAGGTCCTCCTCAGTTTCAGCAAGCAGGGTTGTGTCATCTGCATAATGCAGGCTGTTGATGAGTATTCCTCCAATCTTGATGCCACATTTCTCATACAGCCCAGCCTCCCAGGTGATGTTTTGCATATAGATTGAAAAGGCAGGAAGCCTGTACATTTCCTAAAGGCAAAGGTCTATGAATTATTGTTGAAACACAGCATCTAAAAATATACTTACATATACAATAGATATTCTATAAATGTTGGATGAATCTTAGTGTTAAGCAACTCAAGTTGTCACATTTAGTTAAAATATAAAGGTAGGAGTAAATTAGGAAGTACCCCCTCTCCCTTAAAATCTCAAAAAGGAATTATTTATTCTTAATGTTAATAAGGTTCTTACAAGTATTAATTGGTGTTGATATCTTCATATATAGTGTGTGACAAAATAAGGAAATAACCAAAAAAGGAAATAAAATTAGATGATAAGTATGAATGGACTTTGAGGTATAGTGTGGAAAATGTATCAAAGATAAATTCCTACTCTGTGTTTAAATATACAAGCACAAAGGGACTTTCAAATTTAAGAACTGTTATATGCCATTGGAGATTGCCCATTTTTCTCCCATGGAGCAGCTGGTAGATTCACATTGCATGATTTTGGGCTGGAAGGGTAACTTATTTAATTTTTTTTATTTTAATAATTTTAATGAACATTTACAGAGATTTTGGATTTCCATTCATTCATTGCTGCACTTCTCTCCCCACCCAGCCCTCCCTCCCCATCCCCCCAGTTCGCTCCTCTCTTTGAAAAGCTAAAGAAAAACTCCCTCCCTGGTACACAATCCCCCCCACACCCCTCCCACAGCCCCAAGTACATTCCACTATGCAACTTGTGAACTCTTGTGATAACCATAATACCCTATCATACATCACTTTTAAATTATTCACTCCCTCATCTGTTTCAGTGCAGTATACACAATTTATCCAGTTTTTCTCAGTCTTACCCCAACCCTGATATCAGTCCCATTTTACAGCAGTGGCACCATGCAGCATTTGCCCTTTTGCGACTGAGATACTTCACTCAGCATAATGTCCTCCAGGCTCGCCCAATTTGAATAATATTGAATGAGTTCCTTGTTTTTCAATGCAGCATAGTATTCCATTGTGTGAATATACCACAGCTTCTCTATCCATTCATTTGTTGATGGGCACTTGGGTTGTTTCCTACTCCTTGCTATTGTGAACAAAGCCGCGATAAACATGGGTGTGCATATATCTGCTTGGATGTCAGTTATGGTCTCTTTGGGGTATATTCCCAGTAGAGGAATTGCTGGGTCAAATGGTATCTCTATTTGCAACTTTTTGAGAAAGCCATACCGCCTTCCACAGTGGTGTACCACAGTGCAACTCTTTACCCATTCTCTCTCTCTCTCTGAGGTTCTGATTGCATTGCAATCCCAAGACACGTGATTCGAAGATGTGTGGTTCGGATACACTTGGTGCCCTATGGAATAAAGATGGGCAATCTCCTCTTGTGCAATTTACAGCCTCTGAACACCCTCTTGGAAGTTTAAAGTTGGTTCTGACTCAATGGTATACAACTTACACAAAGACACACAGACACACACACATACATATATATATATATGCCCTAGTGGTAAGGCATAGACTTTGAATGCTGTTTCACAGGAGAAAGATGGGTAATCTTCTCCTGTGTGATTGGCTGTCTCTGAAAACTTGTTAGAGGTATAACTACGGTCCATGCCAATTCGACAACACATAATAAGAACATATGTACATACACATATGTGCATACACACATATTCTATCTTTAAAGAGACCTAGACTGAATGAAACAGGTAAAATTTTATCAAAAGATAGTTCATGAAAAACAAACAAAAAAAAATGTAAGAGTATCTAAGAACCTTAAAGATATAAAGCACTGAAGAGATTAATGAGCCTATGAATACAAGTTTAAAAAGCATAAACTTTACATAAACACATTTTTCCTTAAAATGTGTATTGCTTATGGAAGAAATTATAATGTTAAAAAGTAAACTTTTCTACACTTTGCTTAAGAGATACTTTTCTATATACCAAATATACTCAAACCAAAGGATCAAATATATTATTCATGTTAAATTTTTTAACATAGACTCATAAATTACAGAACAAGAATTTCTAAAAATAGAGCAATGTTAATATCTGAGAAAACTGGTAACAATATAAGCTATTCTTTGTGTGAAATAATGGCATATAATATATGAACTTTACAGGGAGAATGGTAAATTTTTTTAATGCTGTATTATTTTAAAAAGTGGGCTATGTAACAGACATCAGAATTAAACTACTTTATTATATTTTATTAATGTAAACAAACAAATCTCATAAGCATCAGCTTCCATTTTACAATACACAAGAGAAAGTAAAGAGTTAAATATTAATGCAGAAATAAATACAAAAATGTTTCCATTTTCACTAAATTTCTTATAACAAAACATTGGACAGAGTTGATGTAATTTGCTAATAATGGATTAAATACTTGAAATTAAACGAAGTTGAATTTTAAACAAATTTTTATTTCTCAGTGGAAAATGCTCTCTTCATCAAAGGTGGCTGAGCTTTCCCAACATCAAACATCATTTCCAAAGGTGGATTATTTAGAGAACACCAATCTGGTATACGACCTGTCTGGTTATAATATTCTTTTGAGACTGAACGGCTCCCAAGTATGTCTTGTAGTGCTCCAAAAATAGCTCCTGTTTGAAAAAAAAATTTTCTACAGTTAGGATGAAAACTTTTACCACAGAATTTATAAATATATATAGATTTCATTACATGATAAGAAGGACGTAATATGTCAATAAATGGCATTATAAAATTCAGTAAGCATCATTACAGTATCTAAGCTGACAGCCTTATAAAGATCTACAAGGCAGTCTTTAGAAACTAATTTAATTAATAAAGACATTCGGGGGGGGGGAAGAAGAACGAACTGGGGAGGAGGGTAGAGAAAACAGTGCAACAATGAATGAATGAAAACCCAAAATGTCTGTAAATGTTCATTAAAACGAATAAAATTTAATTATAATTAAAAAAAAAGAAACTAATTTAGGACAAACGGACCACTCAGACATCAACTTTCTGACTGATAAGACACCAGAAGGACTAGATGGCATGCTGCTGCCACTGCTGACTAAACAGGATCACAACAGAATTTACTTAATAGAGTGGAGAGAAATGTGGAACAAAATAAAATAAAAATGGCCAGGATTACTGGTCCTATAGAGATGATGGAACCTCCAGGACAGGAGTCTTTAGTCACCTTTCAGAACAATAACAAAACTCACCCCTTGGTTTCAATGTTCATTAAACAGCAGACAGACCTGTAATATGAACACTAACACTAGGGAAGCACTCACTCTTTAGAATGTGCCCAAAGATAAAGCCCAGAAGGCAGGAACGGGCAGGGTAGAAGGATGAGTGGAAATAAGAATCATGGTGATGCATGCAGTGGGAAATGAGTGATTACACTGCAAGTATTTAAGTCCCACTTTGAATATGTGAGTGAACCTGGTATCAATTAGCTGTAACTGTCTTACATGTATAAACTATGTCCTGTTATGTACTATATAAAACCTCTGAAAGCTGAAACCTGTGTAAGGGGGATCTCTATCAGAGAAGAAAACTTCAAATATTTTCCATTAAAAGAAAATTAAATTAAAGCTATGAAAATTATTCCAGTGATGCTGTCATTACTCAGAACACTTCTTTTGATTCTTCACAAAGCTAATTTGTGAGTTACTTACAAAGATTGGTTTATATTTTAGTTACATTTTAGTATGTGATTTTATTATGCCATTTGACTCTTTTACTCTTTTAAGGGATAGCTTCAAGAAAATGAAGAAATTTACTGAAATGTAAGGACAAAAAGGCATATAATTTTAAAAACTTATACAAATTAAAGTCAATGCTCAAAGAAAATATAGTAAATTTGTTAGTGTACTAAGTGGGAAATTTATAGGAGAATTGATGCCGTTGAGCTGTGGTGCTGGAGAAGAGTATTGAATGTACCATGGACTGCTAAGAAAACAAACAGATCCATCCTAGAGAGGGTTAAACCAGGATACTCCTTGGAGGCAAGGATTCTGGGGCTTCGTCTGACATACTTTGGACATGTTGTAACGAGGGATAGGTCCTTGGAGAGGGACATCATGCTTGGGAGTGTGGAGTGATAGTGCAGGAGGGGAAGATCCTTTATGAAGTGGATTGATTCAGTGACTGGGGTAATCGGGATGGGTGTGTCAGAGGCAGTGCGATTGGCACAGGATAGAGCAGAGTTTAGGGCTGTTGTACATAGGGTCGCTATGAGTTGCAAGTAACTCGACGGCACATAACAATAACAACAACTCATTAATAATGCTATTCAGCAACTACTTATTATGTAATCATTGTATTTTAAAACTGAAGTCTTACCTCCTAACCAGGCCACACAATTAGCTTTTGCAGGTGGAGTATGAATCCGGAATGTCTTCGTGCCAAGTGTTTTTTTGTATTTTGGTTTTTCTACCAAATACCTTATTTCTGCAAGTAATCTGTGAAGAAATCCTGGCAACATAGATGTGCCACCTATAATTACCAAATTCTCTGCTAGCTGTTTTCTGGTATCTATTGGGCACTGTTATGACAAAGGAAGGAAAAAAAGAATTTGCAATGAAACAATGCTTGAATATATTTAAGAAAATATATATAACTATTGCATATTTATTTAGGTCATCAAAGGGACTTGGTATGGTATCTTTAACCAGTGAGTTTTTCATATAGCAAATACAGCCACCATAATTATTACCATATATGTACAAAGAACATTAAGAATTTAAAAGTATTTAAAAATGTAATAGTATAGAATTTAAAATTCTACAGAACATATGTGAGTTTATCAGTTTCAAAACAGAATGGCAACAGAGAACTTCCAGATGTGCAGGCTGGATTTAGAAGAGGTCGTGGTACTAGGGATATTATAGCTAATGTTAGATGGATCTGGGCAGAAACCAAAGAATACCAGAAGAATGTCTATCTGTGCTTCATTGACTATGCAAAGGCTTTTGACTGTGTGGATCACAACAAGATGTGGC